TAAGTGTTAAAACGAGCTCCTACCTCATCGAACTGCCTGCACGAGCGTTTTTCTGAGCAAAAATGAATGACTATCCAGAGTAGCTGTATTATAGTACGTTTGTTTCAAGACTTTGAGAATAATAAAAACGAATGTATGTTTCACAATTTTTCATGCACATTTTGGTTAAATTTCGAATTTGAAAAAACGTTCGTGCAATTGACTATGAAAACAGTACCGATAATCCATATGATTTACTAAGACTATGATTTATTTTTAAAAAGTAATCAAAACGGTAATAGAGAGTGTGAGTGTGAATATGTTTCTTCTTTTCTTTCGCACCCACATCTTCGATTTTGTATTGATGTATTTCCATGAATTCATAAAAATGTTAAATCACTCATTCTTGAATCCACTTTTCCGAAATAGATTCTTGGTGCTTGTAACTATCCTAATCTTACTGAATTTAAAATTTTTAATTTCAACAAAGAAATCTTCGTACGTTATTTCATGAGTAAGATATTTATATGTACTGATTTTTTTAAAAAGATTAGTAGAAAAAAAATATTGAGATACTCACAGATAGCAATATCGATGTATTTTATTTAGACGATTCTCTCTTTGAACATATTTGTAAAAAATAAATTACAAATCTCAGTCTTATCAAAAAGAGTATACCAAGAATGCTTACGCAATTATTTTTGCTTTCTTGAAAAAACTAAAGCATTTTACTAGTTGGCTATCATCTATCAACAATTGTCCACGCTTGTCGCTATATTATTACCGCCAACGTCTTTTTTTTCTCCGACACTGACTGAGTTATGTATCAACGTAAACGATTTTAATGATATTCATACTTTACTTGATGGTCGTCTAAAACAATTAACTAGATTCATCATTCAAGTTGAAATAATTCGGAGTTCAATAAACAATAAGATGTCTAGATTAGTAAATATGATGTTTAAATTTTGATTATCAGAACATAATCTGAAAAAAAAATTGTTTTGGTGTTATTCGAGATTATTTCATAATTAATCGTTATTCATTTGAAAATAATTAATGAATCATTGTCGTTATTAAAGGACCTGATACAGCATATTTTGTTCTAAATCTATCTCATTAATTATGTTGGACTTATCTATTCAAGCAAAATAAAATATAAAGTTAGTTCCAACATAAACACTTTAATCTGATGAGGTTTTTTAAAGCTTCATTTTCTTGACTAACGCAATATGTTAAGAAAATGCATTCCTATATAATATTTGATGATTTTATCGAATTGTTTACACGTTTCTATGCATCTCAAGTTAACAAATACAAAGTAATCATTATTACAAGATAATAAAATATATTTCATAGAATTTTGAAAATGAATAATATTTTGTTGATTAATGGTTGATGTGAATTTATTTCATACCTCAACTGATAAAAATGAAGTATAAATATTTGCTTTCTATTTTTCAGGTTGATCTACCTAATTTAAAATATTTCTCATTAACATGTTATCGTAGCTCTGAAGGATTTAGCACTTATCTCGTTAATAAAATTCTTATTCATATACCACAACTTCATACATTTACAGTTTATATCGCTTCTCTAAATATCAATCCTGATTCAGCTATTCGTATATATAATTATGATGTTCAACGAACATTCACAAATAAAGAACATTGACCGATGGCTTCAATGGTAGATTATTTTGACCCTTACAAAATGTTATGTCGCATTTTTTCACTTTCATTTAAGTTTCATCGTCACGTTGACATTGGAAATAATATTCTAAATATTGTATTTAATTCTGTTACTCATTTGAAATAATGGGACAAATATGCATTTAAACATGAATTTTACATTCGACTTGCTCTAGCTTTTCCATTTCTTAAAAATTTATGGATTTGGAATATTAAACCACCATTTTTGAAAATTCTCGAATATCGTCTTCGCCATAAAGACTGGTGCTCAATTATTGAATATCCTCATCTTATTCTCCTTTAATGTCAGATTAATTTTGTGCTGATATTATCTGAATAAAAATCTTTCGTGTATATTATAAATTTTTTTTTTCTTACAAAATCAAGTATAATACAAAAAATGAGAGCCGCCTATGAAGACAAAATTTTCTATGAAAATTCAGTTGTTGTGAAAAACAATTGCTAATATAATCTTATAAGTTATCATTCTCAAGATATCGTAGTATTCAATAATAACTATGGTTTGAATCCTCAAAAATGGCATCATAACACAAAAGGAAGCTCATCGATCATGATCTATATAGACGTTGACTTGATATTTTCTTCAATCGAATAAAACATATATTATGTTAAAATGAAAATATTTGATATTATGTTTCATTTTCTAAAATATTGGCAGTGAAAATCTATTATCTTCATATATCAAAATGATTAACTTTTGCTTCTATTTGATAAAGATCATCGTTATAGAAGAATAATTCAGCAAAAGATATTCTTACAAGAAAACAAGAACAAATCAATTCGTCTAGATGTGGAATATGATAATACAGCGACTACTTTTTTCTTGAACACTTTTGTTAATAAAAAAAGCACACTCTTCTCCACAAAACGACAAAGAATCAGGAAGAAATATTTTGTTTTCGGTTAACTCTGTGATTTATAAAACATGAAAGAAATGCTAGACTAGAAAAATTGATAAATATTTATTTAAAAAGTGTAGATCTTTCATTTGGATCGTGTAGTTTAAATACACAATAAATATAGTGACTTATTTCTTTTTCTTCAATTAATGTTAAACAAATTATTCTTAAAATAAAACCAATACCAAAACTTATTTGTCTAAACATATTTTCAATTAAATTTTGACTTAAATTACATACAAAATATGTTATTAATAATAATAATAATAATATATAATGTGATGAAAATAAATATGATTCTAACCTTCCTATTCGAATGAATTTTCGATTTATTATAATTCTAGTTATACCAAATAATTTTATAAATATATAACAGACAATAAGATAAACAAACGAATAGATTAATAAAAGATTTTTATAAAAATTTAATTGTTTAATTGAAATTATTGATCGAATAAATGATTCATTTGTCACATCTATACTATTTAATAAAATATTTATTAAATAATACACAATTTAATTTTGATGATGAATAAGAAAAAACGAATGTTATTAATAAGAATGATATTATTTTTAATATAAACGAACTAAATTATTCTATTATTGTTCGTTCTTCTATAATAGAGAAAAATCAATTTACTTCATTATCATCGGATGTGCAACAGTTCCATGTTATCTTCAAAAGATCTGAGTTCATCTTACCAGGGTGTGGGTGTGGATAGAGGATGTTAGTGTAGGTCTGGGTGTGATTGACATTGGCTCTTTCTCTTCGTTTTACCCACATTGAAACACTCACACCCAATATACTGTTGTCAATCGTATTGGCTTGAGTATGTTTAAGACTAAATGAGAATCTTCAACGCGTCCAAAGTTGCAGCCATGCCCATTCACCCACTCACACCCGTGAATTATCAGGTTTTTTTATTGCCTCAATATTTTCTTTCCATGATTCATGATTTTTCTATCGCTCGCTTTCTTTTTGACTTTGACCCTCTCTTGCTTTCTTGCTGCCGGGTACCAATCATTGAAATCTTTTTTCTCCTTTTCTACGCGTTTTTCTTTCACGATCATTCTTTTCGTTGAAATTCGTCATTTCTTTTGTCTTCTGTCTTTTTTGATCCAGATTAAAGAAGATTTTTTTCAACTTTTAGCTTTCGTCCTGCCATTACAGATCTGCATTCATTATCAATCACCATAAACAATCATTAAGAAAATAACAATTATATGTTTATTTCGTCTATTATATTTTCTCTTCTACTATTTTTCACGATTAATCTTCTGCAACCAACTGTATGTGTGTTGCCATCAAATGTGCAAAATTTCAATCTTGACAATATTACTATAGTATGGGAAAAATTTTCCACAATAATCGACCAAATCAAAGAAGCCGGTATGTGTCATACAACAATGTTTAAAATATTCGTGATAAGAACAATAGTAGATGTTATTTATTATTTGAAGGCTAACATAGTTTACAAAATGTTTCCCGTCTATTAACATAGTGATTCGATATAGTTACAAATTTTGTGTTAACTAATCATAAATTACTGATCCTTTTTGCGGTGTACAACGAGTAGTTGAGATTGATTTTGTAGGAGAACCATGTGATTGCAACAATATGTAGAAGACGCGTAATCGATAGAAATTCGTCAATATTAATAGTGAAACAGAAACTATTATTTTAGGATCTAAAATTTAGACACTAATTTTTCATAGCTTAAAATAATAGAGAGGATCATTGTATCCACTGCTTTAAGTTCTATGGCATCGAAGTGTATCCAATTTCTATACCCTTTGTATTGTGGTAGAGGAGTAGTCATACTCTTGGTAATTGATCTTATTCTTATTGTTACTGTTTTTAGTCAATCAATTGAGTTGCCCCAAAGGATGGCGACGCCTAGGTGGTTCATGTTATTATATATCCAATATAACTTCGACATTAAATGAAGCCAATTATACGTGCAGTCTCTTTCATTCCAATCATTCACAACTAATGCAAATTCGCAATTCTATTGGATTATTCTACGCAACATATATTCTCACCAAAAATAATTTTTCGTCACTGATGCTCAATATCGATCCGCAAATGATCAAAAGCGAGTTAATATCAAAAAAGAAATCTCCTAATCCATTTATTCGTTTAGGCAAGCGTATTGCTGAATTATTGATTGATAATCAAAGTAAATGGCAACAAATGAAAGAAAACCTTCATGAAACACGAATAAAACACTATAAATTGAAACAAAAGTACTTGATGAATTACATGCCATTGGTTTGCGTACATCGAAACGTTCAAAAAAAATTTAAAAAGTTGTTCACGAAAAGAAAGAAAAAATTCGACTTGATTATAATAATTCAGATGAATATTATCATGATGAAACAATCGGCGATTATTTCTACTCAAAATTCAATGAAAGTCGACGACCAAGATTATGAAGAAGAAGATTTCGATTCGCCTGATGAATCCGATGATTTTGAACAGATCGACGATGTTCGCGAAATCTGTGATCAAGTTGTTTGGAATGTTATGAAAAATGATTCTCAAGTATATACACTAACAACTTTTTTACATACGAATAAAATCATCTGTTCATTGAGTGGCACTGATCTCAATACAAATATAATCATGTCTATGAGCATTGTATGTTATTCTTCTTCATCTCTAACGGTTTGTCTTATCGATTAGTACTCGACTTTTGCTTTGGAAATGATATATGCGGCAAACAAGGTTATTGTATCAATAGTCCATCGAGTTTCAAATGTTCGTGTTCGTTCTTGTACGATGGTATTCTTTGTGAAAAAAGTAAGAGAATCGATTTCTTCTTCTTCGTAGCAAAAGAATTGAAAAACGGTTTTCCTATGCCAGTACTGGAGAATTGAGTCTAATATATATACGAAAGAAAGTGAAGTGGTCAGAAATTTGCTAAACAAGGGCGAGAGTACACACACAAGATACTCACTTATACCTGCACGTACACTCTCGA